ATATATATATATATGTAATAAATGAATATTCAATCTGTTACGCGAAAATGTTTTGGAACGCAGCAAGTTTTATGCTGAACAGAATCACGTGCAGGAGAAGTCATGGTCCTGTATGGAAGAAATAATATAACATGAGGACGTGAGGAGGCCGCGCGCGAGGGGGGGTGGGGGTGGGGGGTTGCCTTAATGGGATGAAGTCATCAGCGGTAATTAAACGCAGTGGGCAGAGAGGAGGACGGGAGCGCGCATGGCCCTGGTGCGCGCTGGGTGGTCTGTCTCCATCCGAAGAGGAAAACATACTTTCATTTATCCGTGACTTTAAATGTTTCCAACAGACAACAAGCAGCGCTGCTGCCACTCTTTGTCTTCTGGGGAGACAATCAAAGTTGAACTGTTTCCACTTTGACAAACCGCCTGAAACAATCAGTCCACGTTTAATCTGCACCATTTGATTAACTAAAGACAAAATCACAAATACATAAATGACACGTGGTATCTAAAAGTGAAGATGTTATTTGGCCCATGTAAAATAATAAAGGAGCTTTGCGCACAAGGAAAAAATAAATCCCCAACCTTGATGGAGAGGTCACTGTTTAACCATTTTATTTTTAGATAGAATACACAAAAAAAGTGCAGAAATCTAAAACAATCTGAACGGAATAACTGAAGCTTAACATTTGAAGGAAAAAATAAAAAAGTGTCTGCAGTTCAGATCTCCAGGGAACAATAAGCAACAGTTTGAGGACTGATCGCCTGCACAAGCTAAAACATGAACTCCTCTGAAAGTCGACTTATTGTGTCACAAATAAACTAAACGCCTCCAGGTGTTCGATCCTCTGACCATCACCTTAAATCCACCTTACCTCCTGTCCTGCAAGAGCCGAGCTCGAGTCCAGGTCCGGGGTCTGTGCGCGCACCGCTCGTCTGAGCCTCCACATCTCTCCTGCTGCGTCCCTGCCTAAATATTATGACTGCGTTATGCAAACATTCATTTTGAAACAAAAAAAAAAAAGGAGAATTAAAGTCCCAGCACGGACAGAGGAGGCTGTGAACAGACCGGCACGCTGCGTCCGTTTGGGTATTAACTGATCCAACGAGGCTTTTTGCGTCTTTTTTTTTTTCTTCTTCTTCTTCTTTTATTTAAAGAAGGGAAAATGTTTACATTGTGCTGTATAAACATCCTGCCCATGTTCCTGCGTGTCTTACAGAAATCAAGAGGCTGGTTGTGAATGTGAGGGGCACACTCTCTAGTAAATAACTTTTTGTAAAAGCTCGAAATGATTTGGTATAAAATGTGACGGGTTGAGAGATGCGTCCTGCAGCCGGGACTGGAGGGACTGGTCTGGGCTGCGGGGTCACACATGGATTTACCTCAACGTTCAGTATTCACAGCAAGAATAATAAAAACCTTAAAACATGGCGCTGAAGATGCGGTCAGAGTAAAGCTTGCACGCGCCATTTGATTCAATTTATTATCTACTGCGTATAATAATAGATTCTCATAAAAGTGTGGGATAGATTCCATATTTCCGTGTTTTTAAACAAATGAAAGCGTTTCACTGAAAGAGAGAGAGAGAGAGAGAGAGAGAGAGAGAGGGGAGGGAAAGGAAAAAAAAAAAAGAAAAGTGAGCGCACGCAGATGTGCATGCGCTCAGCCCACCGCTGGAGTAGGAGGGACCTGGGCGGGTCCCAACATCAGGATGACAAGACCTCCAGCTTCCAATGCGCCGATGGCAACAGATAAGTCAAAAGTGAGCTCCTCGGACCCACCACACCAAGTGAAGCGGCTCCTGTTCTGCTCCTCGGCTCCTCCGGACGTTGCGCACGAGACTGAACCAGAATCCAACAAGTTTTAAGACCGACGCGCTTTCTATTAATTTATTTTTATTTTTCCCTTGGGTCGTTTTTTTATTTATTTATTTTATTTTTTTTGTAACTTTCTCCTCCTGTCTTTATGCTGGCGGCGTACTAGCAGTTTGTGAAGTTTTCCAAAGGTGGAGAGCTGATTTTCAGTTTGCCACTTCCGTGCGTGAGCCGAGTGAAGCTAATGACGGCAGAGGTCCAGCAGCCCCCCGCGCAGACCCCTGCTCAGAGCAGCCCCATGTCTGCTCCGGAGAAGCCGCACGGACAGACGGTGGTGATGGAAACCGCGTCCTCCACGACGAAAACCAAAAAGAGCAACGCGGGGATCCGGCGGCCGGAGAAGCCCCCCTACTCATACATCGCCTTGATCGTCATGGCGATCCAGAGCTCTCCGACCAAGCGCCTGACGCTGAGCGAAATCTACCAGTTCCTGCAGAGCCGCTTCCCGTTCTTCAGGGGCTCTTATCAGGGATGGAAGAACTCGGTGCGTCACAACTTGTCCCTGAACGAGTGCTTCATCAAGCTGCCCAAGGGCCTGGGCCGGCCTGGGAAGGGCCACTACTGGACTATCGACCCGGCCAGTGAGTTCATGTTCGAGGAGGGCTCCTTCAGGAGGAGGCCCCGCGGCTTCAGGCGCAAGTGCCAAGCGCTCAAGCCCATGTACAGCATGATGAACGGCCTGGGCTTCAACCACATCCCCGACTCCTACAACTTCCAGGGGGGCGGCGGGGGTCTGTCCTGCCCGCCCAACAGCTTGGCTCTGGACAGTGGGATCGGAATGATGAACGGACACCTGGGGGGGAACATGGACGGGATGTCTCTGCCCGGTCACTCCATGTCCCACTTGTCTGCAAACGGTGGACATTCGTACATGGGGAGCTGCGCGGGATCCACTGGGAGCGAATACCCCCACCACGACAACTCCGCCTCGCCTCTGCTCACCAGCGGGGGGGTCATGGAGCCTCACCCGGTCTACTCGAGCTCAGCCTCGGCCTGGGCTCCGGCCCCCTCGGCCTCCCTGAACAACGGGGCCTCATACATCAAACAGCAGCCGCTGTCTCCGTGTAACCCCGGAGCCAACAGCCTGCAGCCCAGTCTGCCCACACACTCACTGGACCAGTCGTACCTGCACCAGAACGGCCACAGCACAGATCTACAAGGTGAGCCTGCTGTTAGGAAAATATTTCATCTCGTTAAAATAAAGTATCAAAATCGTGCCACGAGAGGAATAATTCTAAACAGAAACAACAAATGTTTTTTTTGTAGACGCAAATCTGAAGTGAATCCAGTTTTGGTCCAAATAAGGGCCTAATGGAAACCCTTAGTAACAATGATATGAATTAAATACAGGCCTGGTAATAAAAGCTTTATCTGCTTCTTTACAACGGAAAAGCTTAAACTGACGTCACTGAGGGAAATGACAAGAACTGAGAGCGCGTTTTTTTTTGTTTTCTCCCAGGAATCACTTTTATCTCTTTTGCTCCGGATTCAACATCAAATCCAACACATTCAGACTGAGTCAAACGTTCCTGAAGTGGTTTTTAAAAGGAGACAGGGACAGCTCAGAGTCCTTTATCCTGGGGGAGGATGGGGGAGCGCGCGGTTTAGGGTCCAGCCTGCATGGCCCCGGAGCCCCCGGTCCTCAGGGACTGGCGTGCAAGTGGGCCGGAGTCAATTCCCCCCCCCCCCCCCCGGTTTAACTTGATCGCGCTAAACAGGCCTGAGGTCTGGAAATCAAGATCAATCTGTGAATGAAATGTATTAAAATGTATCTTTAAAATGGCAGGTTTTAAAATAAAAAGTAAAAAACAGTTTAATAATAGTTAAATTCAAGACTTTATTAGACAATTTGCTTCAAACATGCACTTTTTCAAATTACTTGAACTTTTAAACTCTAACCTGTTTAACAAATGTGAAACATATCGTCACTCCCAAGTTGATTTTTGAATAAATATTTGACTGTTTCAAATTGATTGCGTGTTCATGTCTGCCCTCTGCTCACGCGCAGGTATCCCTCGGTACCACTCCCAGTCTCCCAGCATGTGTGACCGGAAGGAGTTCGTGTTCTCATTTAACGCCATGACGTCCTCCGCCATGCACTCCCCGGGCAACGGCGCCTACTACCACCACCAGCAGGTCTCCTACCAGGACATCAAGCCCTGCGTCATGTGATCATGTGACCCGCACACCTGCCCAGGTGTCAATAAGGACCCGAGCCGAGCCGAGCCGGGCCGCGGGACCAAATGATGAGAATCAACTGTGGACAGCCCGGCCCGGGGCGCACTGCTCCAGAACTCGGACCTCTTCCGTGTGTTTTACGCACGGCGCCAAGAAACAGACCTGATATTAATAATATATATTAATTAAAAAAAAAAACTTTTTAAAGTTTCATGGAGCAGAAAAAAACCAAGAAAATGAGCGGACTGGAAACCCAGCAGCTGTTTGGTACTTTAGTCCTGCAGAGCAGATGACTTCCGTCACATTTTCCTTTTATGTTTATTCATCCTCTAAAATACGCGCACTCCCATTTCGTCCATTACCTTTTCCATTTTCTTTGTTGTTGATAATTTAGACTAAAGTTTTGTTTTTGGACTATAAATCAAAGCGAAATATACTTCTGAGCATTATTTAGGCCAATATACTGTGTACAGAAAATAAGGCACTTTTTAAACTATAAACGCAAGTGTTGTTTTATTTATTCCGCGGGACTATATTTTCATTTCAGGCAAATTGGCCAAGAAGTTACATAATCTGTTGTGCTTTATTGGCAATATTTGTCAGAATTCTTATTTGTGTTTTTAAAAAAAAAATGAAATGATAAATTGTAAGCACTGTTGTTTGTATCAAGACTTTTATTTCTGTATATATATATATATATATATATATATATATATATATATATATATATATATACACACATGCATAAATGTGTGTTGTACACACACAAGGTCAGTAAATCTCAAAAATAGATGTGAATTTTAAAGATACTGCAAATATAAAATAAATGACCAAGCAACACAAAGTAATATTTGAAGGAAATTGCTTAACAATAATTACAGTAATTATCAACATTGTACTTTGTTTATAATTTAGTTTGACTGGGTCAAATAATTTGATAATTTAACCAATCAGAACCTTTAAGTATATTAAAAAAAATGCCTGATAATATGGTTTTATTTAAAAAAAATTTACAACTGATTTCAAATTATTTTTTTTTAAAGTGGGCAAGGATGGAAAATTTAAAATTCAAAGTTTAGCATTGCCAAGTGTGAATGGATGCCAAATAAATCAGAATCAGGTTTTACTTATAAGCTGAAATCACGTTTACTAAAATATATATTTCTACTAAATACCTAGAAGAAAATGTAACACCGGTTCAAATTTCAACTACATTTGTTTTCAGGATGCATAAACATTAGAGAATGTACAAAAATTAAATAGGGAAAATAAGAGAAGGATGTTTGTATTTCCCCCTTTAAAACACTTCATTTTGTACAGCAATTATAAGATTAAAAATATAAATTTAATTAATAGATATGTGAAGTCCTTATGTTTTATTCAAATAAGCCCCCAAAAAACACAAATCCACCCCCCAGTCAACTGTCACAATATGTCTATATTTTTGTCATTTTCTAAAATGTGTTAACTGAATTTAATAAGGTTCAGTAGGACTTTCAAAACACTTTGTCTAAGAGTCTGCGGTGCTAAAACTTTAAAACAGGTGGTCTCTAAAAATGGCTGCAAATGAAGTCGTGCACGCCTCTGACAGCGTCCTGCTCCTGTTATTTTGCTCCGTTTGACACGAACTGCGCTTCGACCTCGCTCGTGACCACCGACTGAACCCCAGTAAAATGCCACGGATCACAGGGTGAACAGGCTCGGCAGCAGCACATTAACCAGCTGATGACATCTGCTGAGGTTCAGGAGAAAGATGGAACAGCACAGCTGCTCCCAGGCCAGGCCTGGAGGACAGCTCCATAAAAAGCCCGAGCTCTGCACCGTGCACGTACTGAGCTGCTGTCAGTGGGAACAAACAACCCCAGAAACAATCGCTTTCACAACTGACACGGCAGCCATCGTTTGCAGGCAAAGTCTGTGCAGAAACACGAGGAAAAATATTAAAGGTGCACTTATGATTTATTTCTGTCAATAAGCTTCAGATCAACTCGTCTGACTCAGACCGGCCCATTTTGAAGAGCAACATTCAAACAGATGCCTCCATAGAGCGTCAGAACACATTAATTTCAGTTCAAATTAGGTTTAGCTTAGTAAATTAAAAGTTCACGTCATGTGAAAATTGTCAAAATGAGTCCAAAGATGTTCATTTCTAACCTCAAAGATTGATTAATGGACTTTTAGTGGATTGTTGTTTCATTTTCAATCAGCATATTTCATAATACTTCCTATAATTAAGAAAATATTTTACGGTTAATCTAAATAAAAAGTGTGGTGCTGTTTGTTTTTTCATAAAAAAAAATAAGACACAAAGACCAAATGGATGAAATCTTTATCAGCCGAACCAGACAAGATGCAATCAGTAAGTCATCGTCACAAACAAAAATACAAATATCACTGATTAAACTGTGACACATATTCATTTTCTAAAATACTGAGAAAGAAATACATATAAAAACTCAAGGCCATAAGAAACTGGCCTAAATCTTCATGATTAAAAACAGTAATAAAAATGTTTTAAAAAATCCAAATGTTTTTAATGTAAAGAATTAATTTGTACATTGAATACTAGGAAAAATCTGTCTAAATAACTCATTTAATTTCTAATTTCTAAAACACAAAATAATTTAATTAATAGCGCTCCCCCCTTATTTCCTTCATTTTGATGGAAAAGGTTGAACAAACTGAATTTCAGATTTATTTCTATGGAGTTCTGTGAAAAATTGCAAGAGTGAAAAAATATGCACGAGCAAAACAACTCAAACAAAACACAAAGTCAATATTTCTACATAAATTCATAAATTCTGCACACGCCGTGCAACTGACCAGATGGTGGTGCCATTTGCAACAATTATTCTTCAACTACACTTTTAATTCATCGTGGGGAAAAAACCCAACGTTTAGCAAAAGGTGATGCGAAGGCGACCAAACGAAGAACAATAAAACATTATTGATTAGGAAGAAAAGCAAACTGCAAGAAAAAGGTTCGTTGAGACGCATGAACCGGGTGTAAACAGGAAAAAGAAAAAAAAAAAGTACAATTTGTGTTTCAAGTGTCAAGTTTTATACAAAAACGTCTGGAAAAGTTTCAAACTGCAGTTTCCTTCATAAAATAAAAAATCACTATCGCTTTCTCTAAATACTTCAAAAGACCATTGGGTTCATGGCACTGTAATAATTTTTTTTTTAATAAAATCAAAGAAAACATGCAAGCTTATTACATCTAAAGATATTAAAGTTATATCAAACTAGGAAAACTAACTTTTCGACCTGTTGCTGCTGGTTTTAATGTTCGGTCTCCTTAGGGACATCACTTTGTGGCATTTTTGACTTCTGACCTGTGGACGGTCTTTGTCTCTGTCCTGGCCTTCTTTGTCCCCGCTGGCTCTTGGCCAGCTCTGCCTGCAGACTCTGACCATTCAGACAAAGACCCTGCAGAGCCTCCAGGGCCTGGTCTGCCACCTGGGGGTCAGTGTAATCCAGGAAGGCCCTGTGCTGAGCCCCCTGCCAGGTGAGCCTCAGCGGAGCGGCTTTCCTCTCTCGGAGGGCGGCTTTCAGCTCACTGACCCGCAGCCCAGTGGGGATTCCTCCCAGGTAAACGGTGGTCACAGACTGAGGGAGCCTCCTCCGAGTCACCTCTTCACCCCCACCTTCTTCTGATCCCTGCTCCTTCACCGCCCGTCTGCCACTTCCTCTGCTTTCTTTCCTCCCTGGTTGCTGTCTGGCTCTCTGTCCGGCCTCAGTTTCTGTATTGTGACTGGGCTCCTGGCTGGGTTCTCCCTCTGCATCCTGCTGCGTGTTCCGCCTTGGCCTCTGTCTGGGTTGGCGTTTCGGTTTATCGTCTTGCAGAGCGGGCTCCGCTGCAGGCGGCGTTGCCCCCAGTGTCACATCCTTTCCAGCCTGTTCTTCCAGAGCACGCAGCTTCTTCAGGATGGGAATCTTTTTCAGCTTTTCTGCGTCCAGCTGAAGACAAATGAATCTGCATGAGTCCACACCGCTCACAGCTAATAACTACCTTTACAGCAGCAGGATATTTCACTTCCCACAATGTTAAAAATAACACCGGCTTTCTTGATTTGTTGGGTCTTAAAGTGTCCTGGCAGCCTTTGATGCTGGCCAGTCATGTAAAGGATATACGGGCCTATTGTTTTAACGCTGGCCCGTTTGACCCGTCGCTCCCCTGCCCCTGCAGAGCCAAGGTGGCTGGGCAGAACAGCCTTTGATGATCAGACTTGGCCTTCCTGTCTGTGAGGTCACAGAGCTTTGTTTACTTACGTGTGTGTCTCAAGGAACCCAGAGGTTCTACACAATACGTCCACATGATAAGAATAATTTGCCCATCATGTCTAAATACAGACGTTATTACGATAGAATAAAAACATGTGATGTCTCCCAGTCAGAGTCAATAAATCAGTAGTTTAAGGTCCAGGTAATATTTTAGACTTAATGTCATTTTTAATATTTTACAATATGGTATATGTTCTGTATAGTATGTTATATATAAATGCTAAATGATTCATTTACAGGCCATGTGTGCATATGTACACGTTTATGCATGTATGTAGACATGCCATACACATGTATATACTTTAGAAAAAAGAATCACGTTAATTCATCTTTTCCTGGTAAGTGTTTATAAAATATACACAATATGATGGCTAATCGTGGACAAGACAGAGATGCTATGAAGGCATTGATTTAATGAGCTTATATTTCTTACTTAACCATTTCACACATAACATTGAGCTAACGCTAATATAAATAGCATGAAAGTTTATTATTTATTTGTAGTATTCTTCATTATTATTTTTTGCTCTTTTTGTGTTTTTGTTCCACCAGTGTTAAAAAATAAATAGAACACTTGTTTTTAAAAATACATTATTGATAGGAACACTCATAAAAATCACATTTTGCAAGATATTCATTGTATGCCCTTTTAAAGCCAGACTGCTGCTGCTGATGGAAAAAAAAAAAAAGTTGGAGTGAGTTGGAGAAAGTCCACTAGGGGGCAGTGTTGGTCCAAAGAGATGCTAAAAAATTAGTTGTGTGAAAGAAGTCAGAAAGAAGTTTTATCTTTAATTTAAAAAAACACCAGAAACTTTTCAGGACAGATTTTTTTTTAATACAAGGCGAGAAAAAAAACTAATCGATCTTGTGCAATAAAAAAAAAAAAAAACAATAGAGAGTTTGAGATAAAGTTTTAAGATAAACTTGAACGTTTTATAATAACATTAACACAATGTTTATTCAAAAGGGCACCACTTTACAATAAGGCTCCCCTTATAGAAGGCTAATAAATAGTTTATAAATACGTTAAGTCATCTATAAACAATTTATGAATTATTAATAATTGCTTATTATGCTCACCTATAGATTTCGTCTAGATTTGTTGTATTGAACATTTCAGACTAAGTTACTACCTTGTAAACCTATTTTTTAGGATATATTAGTTGTAGGTACTTATAATGCAGTGATAAAGCACAATATTAAACAATATTATATGCTAAAGAAATATGTTTACAAATGCTTATTGTGCTTACAAGGTGGTAACTTAGTCTGAAATGTTTAATATAACAACTCTAGATGAAATATATAGGTGAACAGATTTGACTCACTGTTTGACAAGAAATTGGTCAGTTTTGTTTCTCTGTCACCCTTAATTAATGCATAATAAGCAGTTATTAATGATTTATTAAGCGTTTATAGAGGAAATAACATATCTCTAACCATTTACTAGACATCTATAAGGGGAGTCTTATTGTAAAGTGGTACCTTTAAATGGCTGTTAACCAATAAAACAGGATGTGTTTAATAATGTACTTATCGGAGGCTTATGATGCCTAAAATATACTGGTAGTTTAAAAAAACTAGTTTGCCAATAGGCTGAACTGTGACGAATGCTTAAAAGGAAAGTTATACTAGTAAAACTATTACTAACAGCGTTGCAGTAGCTTTGTTTATCTTGTGATTTTCTTTGTATTCTCTCGAGAAATTCATTATATCTCTGTTTTTTTTTAATTAAATCTGAACATTTTTTCAACCATATAGGATCTGATGCTGTGTGGGTGATTTCTGCTGAAGCATCCAGCATTTCTGTTATGGTGAGTAACCATGTGAACAAAGTTTTATTTACATGCAGCAGCAGCTGATTGAGGTTTCAAAAGCCAATCAATGTGCTGAATGAGACCTATAAGTCCAAGATGAGATGACAAGGAGCTGCCAGGGATGTAGGTTTGGAGCAAACAAGTACGAGAAGGATTAAATTTAAATCATTTTTCTCCTCAAATGTCATAGGAAATCATTAATGATCCATTGTTAGGCTGATAGTCCTTCTTGAGCATGTGAGCAGCTGGTTTTGGTTGTCAGCAGCAAAACTGGTTGATCCACTCTGAGAAGGTGCTATTTAAGAGACTGAGCTGAAAACAGCACCTCAGACTGAGGACGTCTCTTGGATGAGAGACGAAACGTTTCTACATTTTTTTTTTGTTGTTTTGCTTTGTTTTGTTTTTTGAATGTCCAGAGGACCAGATTTAACTTTTTTAGACACACAATATGGTATTTTGTTTTGTTTGTTTTAAAAAAATGGATGCAGTTAGAGAAGACGTGGAGTTAGATGGTATGAGGATGAGTGAGATGGAGGAGGACTCGCCGTGGCGACCTCTGAAGAGGGAAAAGCCGAAAAGAAGAATAAAAGGTTTGTTTGTTTCTAAACATGAGATAAACCACTGTGAAATATTAAAATTAATATTAAATCAGTTAATTTACTGCTTGATAATGATTAGGAAGAGTTGCGTGCTGCAAATCAAATTCCCTCGATTACCCATCAGACTTTGATCATTTTTATAAAAGTTATAAAAAAAAAATTTTTGGCAACTTAAATCAACTTTACAAACAATCACAGCAGCATAACAAATACTAGTCGAGTCTTTTACATGTACCTTGTTCCAGATGATTCCCTGTGGTTTAGGCAACTGGCAGTTCGTTTTAATGACCCTGCTGGGTGTAAGGATGTAGTCAACAGTCAGGTCATGACTCCCCATGAGCTCATCTGGAATATCTACCACCTTAAACACAAAACCATCATTTTCAACTTTGGAAATAAGAATGTGTGACATCGGAGCAAGTTTGAACAAATGGCGAGTTAAAATGTTATGGTCCTTGAAACATCTGAGCTTTTTCTGCCTGTTTTAAGTACAAAGATTCACCTGGCAGTCGTGGACGACAGTAACGACCACAGTGGATTCATTCACAGATCCCATTGAGGCCATCATCGCCCACTCCAGATCAGCAAAACCCTCTCCTTTTCCAATCCGACACCCTGCAGAAGACAGGCACCACAAGATCATTACTAAAACAAGGGGTTCGCTGATGTCCCCATTTCTTGGGGGGCGTTGAATATTGAATGTTAGCAGGTTCCGAGGAGAGTTTCTCTGGACTGGAACAGGGAATGAGAGTAAACATTAGTGGTGCAGAGTGATGGATCCTGGCGAGCAAAGGGAGAAATTTCATCCACGACTAGCTGCAATGACAGAGCCAGGGGGTGGCCAGTGGTGGCCTTGGCCACTACATATTACTTCTCGGCCACCCTACTGACCGACCACCGCAATCATTCGAGGAAACTATACTTTTAAACAATTTAAAAACTAGAAAGCATAGTTTCCTCAAATTACTGGGGTGGCCAGTTTGTGTGTGTTAGTCTCATTGAGTCACAAGGACTCATTTTCGAGAGAGACCTGTTTTAGACAGACAACATACACTACATTGCCAAAAGTATTTGCTCACCCATCCAAATGATCAGAATCAGGTGTCCCAGTCTCTTCCATGGCCACAGGTGTATAAAATGAAGCACCTAGGCATGCAGACTGTTTTTACAAACATTTGTGAAAGAATGGGTCGCTCTCGGGAGCTCAGTGAAATCCAGCGTGGAACTGATAGGATGGCACCTGTGCAACAAATCCAGTCGTGAAATTTCCTCACTCTTAAATATTCCACAGTCAACTGTCAGCTGTATTATAAGAAAATGGAAGTGTTGGGAATGACAGCAACTCAGCCAGAGTGGTAGGCCACGTAAACTGACGGAGCGGGGTCAGCGGATGCTGAAGCGCATAGTGCGAAGAGGTCGTTAACTTTCTGCAGAGTCTAACACTACAGACCTCCAAACTTCATGTGGCCTTCAGATTAGCTCAAGAACAGTGCACAGAGAGCTTCATGGAATGGGTTTTCATGGTTGAGCAGCTGCATCCAAGCCATACATCACCAAATGCAATGCAAAGCATCAGATGCAGTGGTGTAAAGCACGCCGCCACTGGACTCTAGAGCAGTGGAGGTGCGTTCTCTGGAGTGATGAATCACACTTCTCCATCTGGCAATCTGATGGACTAGTCTGGGTTTGGTGGTTGCCAGGTGAATGGTACTTGTCAGACTGCATTGTGCCAAGTGTAAAGTTTGGCGGAGGGGGAATTATGGTGTGGGGTTGTTTTTCAGGAGCTGGGCTTGGCCCCTTAGTTCCAGTGAAAAGAACTGACTGCTTCAGCATACGAAGACATTTTGGACAATTCCATGCTCCCAACGTTGTGGGAACAGTTTGGAGCTGGCCCATTCCTCTTCCAACATGACTGTGCACCAGTGCACAAAGCAGGTCCATGAAGACATGGATGGCAGAGTCTGGTGTGGATGAACTTGACTGGCCTGCACAGAGTCCTGACCTCAACCTGATAGAACACCTTTGGGATGAATTAGAGCGGAGACTATGAGCCAGCCCTTCTCGTCCAACATCAGTATGTGACCTCACAAATGCTCTTCTGGAAGAATGGTCAAAAATCCCCATAAACACACTCCTAAACCTTGTGGACAGCCTCCCCAGAAGAGTTGAAGCTGTTTTAGCTGCAAAGGGTGGACCAACGTCATATTGAACACTATGGATTAGGAATGGGATGTTACTTAAGCTCATATGAGTCAAAGCAGGTGAGCAAATACTTCTGGCAATATAGTGTATAAAGTACAGACAAAAATAAACAAAAAACAATTCAAATAAAAAGTGTTATAATAATCAAGGTGAAATACTAAAAACAAGAACAAGTATTTTTTAGATTTTTCTATAGACCTTCTCAAATGTTTAAAATCCCTTAAAGAGATCAAGGTGGACAGCTTCAGAGCTTCTTGCAAGGTGTTCCAGGTTACAGGAGCGGAGTAACAAAAGGAGGTGGTGGCCATTTTGGCTTTCAATGTGGAGACCTGATTTTCAATAGTGACTTTTCTTACACCTAGATGTACCCATACTGCAAAATGAAAGTTGACACGTAGCTTATTTTTGTAAACAAAAAACTGGTTTTGTAGATATCCAGCTCACAAGGTTTACATTTATACATATATGGCAGAGGCCATCTTGGATTTTGATGTGGCAACCCATGAACCTTTCTTACACCTAGATGCAGTTACACCACAAAAAGGAATTTGGTACATCACTTTTTATATATATATATATGTTATCCATCACAAGAAGGACAAACAGAATTTCCAATTCCCCTCTTCGCTCCATGATGGGAGACAAGAAGTTCCACTATTAGCACATCAAACATTTAAAATGAGCAACTTAAACTTTAAACAAACTCAATAAATAAAGTAGCACAATTAATTTACATAGTGAGGTCAGCTGCTGTAACTTTTTAAACGTTGAAAGAAATCAAACAGTGATAAGGGCATAAAAGTCTATTTTAAACAACCGTTTTAAAAATTGCCATGTAAAGTTGTACATTCAGTTCATGTTGGAATTGTATCCATCACAGTAAGAATAGACTCTTTATTTCTGCATGCTATCAGTTCATTAATAAGATCATTACAAATTGTAAATGACCAGGAAATGTGCATAAAAGGAAATGATAAAGCAGATGCTGTCCCTGTTTTTGTTTCTGCTCGTCACATCTCCCTGCAGTGTGTGTCTGGATGCCTCAGTGGGTTAAAAAACATGCTGGGATCCACACAAAATATTCCACAAGAGCTCTGTGAGAATTTTTTTTCTTCTTCCTGATCTCCTTTAATGTTTCAAAGCGTAATAAAGAAAGCCCACAGGAAACATTTCAATGCCTCCACAGAGTCTGTAGAACAGTTATTGGACAAACTTTCTGAACAATGTGACGTTTCAAAATCTGCGTAATGGAAGAAACAATATAATGTACTACTGAAATTTATGCTGGCTCTCAATAAATAAATATCTATACTGTCATAAATACAGTATTATGTTTTCATTTGTTCCTGAATCAAACGAGCGGCTTCGGATGGTGAACAAACTTGTGTAGCTCAAATCTGTTAATTATAAAAAACGTTGATTCGGTGATTTACGGGCACCAACAAACCTTTCTCGGACACGGCCACAGAGCCGACCACCACCAGGTCCACCTTCACCTTCGCATCCAGACCAACCGGCTCGCTGAAGTCTCTCACACCCTGCCGCAGATTCACAGCACAGAGATGTATTATCAACATGTGCTGGAGGTTTTTATTTTGTGTAAAATTATATTAATAACGTAAACGTGTACAACCTGAGAGGAGGAGCATATGCGCAGCTGTTCCTTGTTTGCCCCCTGGGGAGGAGTGATCTTATTGAAAAGGCCGGTGCGAAGACGAGGAGTTGGAACCAATAATGTTTTCTGTGCCTGCAAACATCATCCCAAAATCACAAAACGTAACAGTCCAGATACATAACACGACTGAAAGTTTAACATGATCAGATCTGCTGAGTGACTGTGAAACCAAAAATAATCACATTCAGATTCAACTGATGGAAAATAATGCTGTCGCTGAAATGACACTGAAGTGACTTAGAATATGTAAAGAAACCCGCAGTAAATTGTTTAAGTGCAGACCCTAAACAGTTACAAAACAAAATAAAAAAAAATAAATAAAGATAGAATCTCATATTGTTAGGGGTGAGTCACAGCTTCAATCATTTTCACAAGCGTACAAAACGTACTCTGTTTGGAGACGGAGCAGGGGGAAGACCTGCTCTGAGCATTTTGTCAACATTTGTTTTCACTTTGAAAAGTGTGCACGAGATGAGGTGGAGGTAGGGCAGCTGACTTGGGACCCGGAAGTCCCAGGTTTGACTCCCAGACATTCCCACATGCCGTGGTGTCTGAGCAAGACACCTTATCCCTAATTGCTCCCCAGTCTCCTACATAGTCGCCCACTGCTCCACCTGGGTGTATCCCAGGTGTGATGGGTTAAATGCAGAGAACTAATTTCGCCATTGTATGAGAACATACAATGATGACAACACATAACACTTTACACCAGTCTGTGACACCCCCCCCCCCCCACCCCAGCGTATGGTTTGTATGCTTGTGAAAACAATAAACTCTGAATTTATATATATATATTTATATATATATATACATATTTCATTTTTTTGTCAAAGTGCTTCCTGAGGTAGGAGTGCAGTTCACAACAAGGGTGATTTTTAGATCGTAAAACTAAAATAAGTTGTCCAGAATACAAATAATTATTATTAATTATTAATTGTTAATAATAAATAAGTAAATGAATAAATCTCAACAACCTGGCTCCATATTATATTACATATTTGATTGTTCCATATTTTCCTAACAGAGCACTTCGCTCTCAAGACTGCAGGTTTACTTGTGGTTCCTAGAGTTTCTAAAATCACAATGGGAGGCAGAGCTTTCTCTTGTGGAACCAACTTCCAGTTTCTGTCCGTGAGGCTGACACATTATCCAGTTTTAAAACTAGGCTTAAGATTTTCCTTTTTGATAAATCCTATAGTTAGGGTCGGCTTGGGTTTCCTCCAGCTATCCCTTAGTTATGCTGCTATAGGCTTAGACTGCTGGAGGACAAACTGACCACACCTTTTCACTCTGCTACTGTCTTTACTTACAACCTGTTTTGTATTTGTAATTATGTTTTCTATCCTTGACATGTGTTTTTGTCTTTCAGGTACACCTGCACCAACATCTGGACCTGCCATTCTGTGTTCATCTGTCTCTCCTTCCGGTTCTTTTCAAACCCAGTCGGTCAAAGCAGATGGCCGCCTGTCCTGAGCCTGGTTCTGCTGGAGGTTTCTTCCTTTAAAAAGGGAGTTTTTCCTTTCCACTGTTGCCACTGTGCTTGCTCAGGATGGGAGACTGCAACGAAGTGAAGATTCAACTTGTCTGCTGGATTCCTTAGAGAACTTTACTAATTGGCTTTTCTATGAATGTGAATGCTCCTGTAAAGTGCCCTGAGACAACTTTGTTGTGATTTGGAACTATATACATGAACTGAATTGAATTGAATTAAATAACTGTTCTGCTAGAGGTTTCTTCATCATGAAGGAGTTTTTCCTTTCCACTGCTGCATCTGTGCTCGCTCAGGACAGGAGACTGCGACAAAGTGATAACGCAAAGCAATCTGCTGGCTCCTTAGATAAATATTGTTATTAACTGATTTTTATATTTATGAATGTTTCTGTTCAGTGCCCTGAGACGACTACTGTTGTGAACTGGTGCTATAAAAATTAATTGAATTCAAATTGAATTGAATTGTTAAAGAACACCCCACCTATCAGGAAAAATGTTAAGGCCTAATGTCTTGTCTCTCTGAGCCCAATTAAACAAGAAATGTTACTTGTAGAGTAAAGGATAACTTTATAAAAACATTAATAGCTCATAAATAAATAGTTGTATGTATGGGTCAAAGGAAAAATGCCTGCCTTCTAAATGGACCATTGACTGCCCTGATTTCTAAACATGAGTCACTGAAAAACCTAAATCAGTCTGTTTTGAACCAAAGTCCCTGCTACCTGCAGCACTGCCAGGCGAGCCCCTTCCAGAGGTTTGTCAGGGTCCACCTTCACCTCGGCCGTATCAGAGAACACCTGCAGCTCCGTCACTTTGGAGCAGGCTCCAAAAGCGCCCTAATGAGAAAATATAGCATTTCATAGAGATCAGTTCTTCTTTTAAGTGAACTTACTTCCAGAGTGACAAAGCGGGCTTGCTGCTGGGGTCTGTCTGGGTTTATTTTGACAATCTGGCTGGATTTGAAGTCCTGCAGCTCTGCGAGCCTGCTGCACGCTCGACTTGCACTCTGGTTATTATTCAGACATGGGAGGAAACATGATAAATGCACAAACGTATGCAACCGTTAATCGTTCAAACATCAATTAAATGTTTTTATTCCATGCATCTAATGTTATAGTTTGTGATTTTTTTTCAACCCCCAATAAAGCTACTGGAAATCATGGCCACATGTTTTCGTTCAAAAACTACATTTGCAATAAATAATTTAAAAAGCAGCTTTCTAAAAAAAAACAACTATTGAGTTCTGGATCATCAGAGAGTTTTCAAAATGTCCTGGAGGTGAAAGAAAACTGACTCTCAATGATTTATTTTGAAATGTACATAGAAAGTTGATACAACCTGGAAAGAACCAGTTTTAATCAAAGGGTAAAAAAAAACATATATAGGAGTACTTTTAATTATAGCTAGAGGGTAATATAAAAATAAATAACTAGATGCAATACAGGCAGCACGGTGGCGCAACTGGTAGAGCTGCTGCCTCTCAGTGAGAAGGTCCCTGGTTCAAACCCCGGTCCAGGGGCCTTTCTGGGTGGAGTTTGCATGTTCTCTCCGTGCATGCGTGGGTTTTCTCCGGGTGCTCCGGTTTCCTCCCACAGACCAAAAACATGCATGTTAGGCTGATTGGTAACTCTAAATTGTCCCTAGGTGTGAGTGAGAGAGTGAATGATTGTTTGTCTCGTTTGTCTCTATGTGGCCCTGTGATGGACTTGCGACCCGTCCAGGGTGTACCCCGCCCCTCGCACAGTGATTGCTGGACATGGGCACCAGCGACCCCCGTGACCCAAAATGGAACAAACGGGTAAAGAAAATGGATGGATGGATGGATGGATAGATGCAATACAACTACTAGGTAAAAATAGGCAACCTTTAATGAACAGCATTATGTTGCTCATTCAAATCAATTCATCAATTCATAACAAATTGTAGTGTTTTTATCAAAACAAGCCAAAACACAGAACCAGTCCATCACTTGTGCAACAGCTTTCCATCAGAAACAGACAAAAACAATCATGTTTGTATAATGTTGCACATTTTTAAAGTCACTGAGGAGAAGCTTTGGCCAGTTCTTCATTGAAGTGATGCATTGTCCCTAATTTGGTCCATTTCTCTTCAGGCTTCAACATCAATCAATCAATCAAACCTTGACTTTGGGCCATGGATCACTTTTATGGTTCAATTTTTAAACTGTGTTTTTGTAGATTTGCTGCTGTGTTTTAGATGACGGTCCTGTTTTTATCCAAATGTACACTTAGCTTCAGATGGCAACAAATAACCCCACGTTTGACTCGGGAACACTTTGGATGGTCGACCCAATGACTCCAAGGTGCTGCAAAAGCCCACAGCTGAAATGATGCGTTTAATTCTTCCAGTTGAACAGCTTCACTTTTGTCTTGTTTTTACATCTGTCTGTTGTTCACATGCAGCTTTTAAACCATGCAATATTGTTGTCAGTGTAAACTTGCTTTCTGACATACCTTATAGCTCTTGAGGTTTTTTTGCAGTTTCTCTGAACATTAACAGAGTTATTAATGCTCTCTGATGATCAGATAATCAGGTGAATCTGATTATCAGCACCTGAACACACTCTTTAAAGTGCCTGTAATGAATATGAATGTACTTCTGTAAAGATAACATGACAAAAATTTAATTTCACGCCTCTGAGTTGAAGAGTTGTTGAAAACTCATATGCACACTAACAGGAAGTGATGCCAGAGGGGAACACCTGCATGTGAACAGATTGCTACAATGGCTAACAACACATGCAATAGCCAAAAATCTGTTTAATTATTTTGAGTCACTATCAGAGTGAGATGAAGATGAGCCAAGGTTCAAATTATGTTGTTTTAATAAACAAAGTGCAGAGAGTATAAAGAGTTCCCTTATGATGTCACTTCCTGTTTCACTAAAAGAAGTAAAAGAAAGTTTAAAAAAAAATAGCCAATTATGTGACAAAATTAGTCAAATCATGTGTACAGTATTATGACAAATTTCTTATTTTTTGTATTTCTAGGACAAGCATGTCACAGGACTTTAACTCCAATAGAGAAGCTAATATAGAAGTCATCACTCTTCTTTAACATCATTTTTTTAATATATAAATAACTGTACTGTGTGACACACACTGTTGTTCAATATAGGTTATATTTACCTTATTTTAAGAGCCAGTAAAAAAAAAAAAATACATTAGTTTTTATTGTCCCAATGTAAAACTTTATAAGAGAAAACAGGTGTTTTAATTTTACTGTGACAATAACTTCACTCATTAGAATCAATTCATTAAGCAAATTTAATCTAGTTTTTTGGGGCAGCACGGTGGCGCAGTTGGTAGAGCTGCCACCTCTCAGCGAGCAAGTGACCCCGGTTCAAAATCTGGTTTGGGGGGGGCCTTTCTGGGTGGAGTTTGCACATTCTCTCCATGCATGCAGGTTTTCTCCGGGTACTCTGGTTTCATCCCACAGTCCAAAAACACGCATGTTAGGCTGATTGGTAACTCTAAATTGTCTCTAAGTGTGTGTGTCTGAGAGAGAGAGAGAGAGAGAGAGAGAGAGAGAATGGTTGTTTGTCTCTGTGAGCCCCTGTGATGGACAGGAGACGTGTCCAAGGTGTCCCCCGCCTCCTGCACAGTGAACTGCTGGACATTATTAAAAATAAATTACTGGTGTGCCACAACAACCTGACATAGTTGGTGTTATTTTTCGTAGGATGTTACACACACACACACACACACATATATACATATATATATATACATATATATATATATATATATATATATATTATAGTATATGGGTCAACCTATATATGGCTTAAAAAAAAAACTCTACTGATAAAATTTGGTGAACATCTGATCCAATCTATTTTTAGTGTCTCTATAAATACACAGCTTTCCTGCATGCAGAGAAGTGCTGAGAACATCCGCAGTGTCTGAAAACACGTTTAAATGTGTTTAACCTTAAAGTTTGGGATCCTGTTGTGAACAGGCCTCGGGAAGTTGGCTAAATTCTTCTCTTCTATGTAGTCCCAAACTTTCTGACGAATGTCCCATTTGGACGCTCCTGGAGGAAGAAAGTGGAAAAAAAGACAGGTTTAAAGTTTGACATGAAGCCAAACACAAACTGTCACAAAGCAACATATTAGCGTACAGCGTTTAGCAGCGCGTGAACACGCTGCTTCTGAGCACAAAAAACTAAGCCCGCAAACATGTCTCCTACCTGCATTTATCTTAATCAAGCACTCCATGGTTTGTTTAGAGCGACACCTCGTTTCTATAAAACCTGACTGCGCTGTGAAATCTCCCACGTGAGCGCTAACACGCAGAAACAGCTGCTTGTCATGTTTTTCACCACTACGGCGCCTCAGAGGGACAAGTTTAAGAAAACGCGAAAGTAGCTTCGAACCTCCTGGTGTTAACAAGCAGCTGAAATGTTCCTTCTTTTCCTAATTCACGTGGTAATTTTATATTAAATCCTTTTATTATCACGGTTTTTTTACGTTTGCGAATCAGATTTTGCTAGCTTTTGCATCCTCTTTGACAATGGATTAACAAAATATGGTAAGCTGTCATAAAATGTAATTTCTCGTATTAAATATTATAGATGTCAATTTCATGTCAGTTTACTGAAGCTTTTCACAGATGGGTTAGTGCATTTAAAGGAGAAATTAAAAGTTCAAAACACACAATTTGCCTCCTCAAGGGAGAAATAAACTTCCAGTTTGTTACAAAAAGCCTGGAAAGCAACACAATAATGGAACAGGCTCCAAGTCCACATTAGTGCTTCATGTAAATGCACATGCACTGATTTATTGCATGCACATTTCTAATTCATTTTGTTGTTCTTGTTTTACAGTTATTAATGTCACCAATTTTTGTAAATGAAGAACACGTTGGTTTTTATCTTGCATTTTCCTCCCTAAGTTATACTGAGACATCATCTGCAGGTCTTGTTTATTTCATTTGGGCTGCAGCAGAACATTTTACTGCAAATATAAAGTGCCTTTTACATACCTTGTTTATAGTTCTGTTTATATTTTATACGCTTTATACACAAACTATAATGATGAATTATTCAAACTGCAGGTATCAAAGAGTTTTTTCATACTGCAGAACTAGATTTTTATAATATTTAGTGGATAGATGTGTTTCTGCTCTTCAGTGAGTTTTTTATTTATTTAAAATAATAAACCATTAGGCAGATCGAAGCATTAATTATTACAGTACTGTGTGATGCTTCTTCTTATGAAGGGATGTGCTCCTTCCAGCAGAGGGGGTGCTCTACCAGCATATTGCTCCTGGAGGAGAGCAACACCATTTCCTGCCTATCTGATGGAATGGGAATTACATTGTTCCACAGAATAAATAATTTAAAAAAAAGAGTTTTGTTAAAATGAATTTAAATGGCATGTCTTGTTATTATGTAGACACCCCACCTGAGTTGTGTATGGCTGGTATAAACTGACCCAGCTTGACAGTTTAAATCTGTGCATCCTCGCACACACACTGGGGTGCATAATCACCCCCCACACCTACACACAGCTTCCCCACTCCAACAGCCCCCCCTCCCTCCAGACACCCCATTCTGTCTTGCAGTCTGGGCAGGCTGCCATCTCTGCCCTCCCTTTCTCTCTCTTTTAGCTCTGGATCTGTGTGTGTGTTTTTGTTGCACGCACCAAGCCTCACAATGCTGCATGAACTGAGCCCAGTGGCTCAGAGATCCTCTGCGATGCTGCTGCTCCCAGACCTCCCAGTCTGCAGCCGAGCTCTCACACAGCTCTGATGGCAGAGCAGGACAGGTGGACTGAACTGGAGAAGGACAATCATCACCTGTTTGGGACATTTTGAACAACAGCAGACAAAAAAAAAAAAAAAAAGAAGGTGGAACAGAGAAGAGCTGATAGGTCTCTTGTCCACCCATCTCCACCCTCCTTTTACTCTTTCATGCACACTCATTTGCATCCACCCCCCTTTGCCTTTTATTTCCTCTCTATGTCCAATGCTGGTGTGAACAGCAGAGCACCCTCAGCTGAGCTGGATGGAGGCACAGGGAGGGGCGGGGAGCCCAGGTACGAGCCATTTTCTCTTCTTTCTTTTCTAATTCCACAGCTTTGAACACAACCATAGAGTGTCCTGTCATATAACAGAATACTTGTTTTGCCCTTTTCTTTATATTTATGATGGTTGTGATGAAGGACTTCTGGAAGGATGGTTATCTTTTGTTCTGGGAAGAGTTAATCAGTGATATATGTTAAGGTTAAATATAGCACCATAGGCAGATTTATCTCAGCTCACTGTAGGTCACCGGTGCAAAGACTGGACTGCTGAAATGCAAATTGTAGAACAATAGTTGGTCTTTTTGTATGAAAACCACCCAGGAAATCGTGACTGAACAATGCTTATTTGTACAACTGAATCGTTTTAAAAGTGACAATTGGACACATTTACCAATATGTAATGCAGGTTCAATGTTAATTATATCTCTGCTTTAAAAGGTACACTACTGAGCATCATCTTGTGCACTTCATGGTTCACTTCATGGTTTATTGGGATCAAAACCTGCTTCTATAGCTTCTAAACATTAAAATGTCATCAAAATACTAAAATGTCCTGCCCTACTTTGTTCCATGTGTCTATTCTGTGAGCAAATCTTTTTCATCTTGATGGTTCATGGGTCCACTATTCTGTCATGAACATGACATCGAATTAGGTTAAACATCATGATTATGATTCACCCTAAACTGGGTCACATAGTGTGACGGCTGGAAGTCACTTTCTGGGTTTTGATAAATGCTACATTAACTTTACTAATATATATATATATATATATATATATATATATATATGTATATATACATATATATATATATATATACA